GTTGGTGCCTACAAAGCTGATGGAGCCGGGCAATGCTCTAGCATGAAGAGGAGGTATCCATGGCAACCCTGCGAGCGGCCCTCCACCAGGCACCGTCACACTGTACAATTCAGTGGAATACTTACCGACTAATACTTACCTGGCCCATACCTCAAGAGGAAGGGAGGGATGGAAAAAAACCAAAGCACAAAATGGCACCCAAACAGTAAGCTATTGCAACAACACTTTACGAAGAACCACAAGCAAGCAACTGCGTATATAAGTCACGAGGTGCCCCTGCTAGAGGCATCGGACCACCCCTAGTATAGCTGGGGAAACTGCGGAATTACATTTAGCCACATTTCCAGATAGAGGGCGCGGACACTTTCAGGGTTTACGAGTTAGATTTTAGCATCGTTTTTAAGCATCCATAAGCGGACATCCAAAACAAAATCTCATTCGTTTCTGAATCTTGGATTTGAATAAGTCAACTTCAGATCGTTCTTCGTCACAATGAATTTATATCCGTCTCAGTGTGTGTCTTTTTTCACTTACACATCCGGTAACACTTCAAAACATTACTAGAATTTTATGCCTGTGACTGAATTACAACATCGTCAGGGCCACAGTATAGCCAAATTAACACTGACAAACAGCTTTTGCGCATTCCCAATGTTTATCTGTACCTGGGAAAGCTCCCATAAAGCGACCATGTAACCCTTACACCTTTAGTGGGCACCTTTTGAGAACCAGCTCTAGTTGCGGACACCTCCGTGTCTCGAGGGTGTCCGCTTACGAGGGTTTCCAATGTAGCTATCAAATAATGCGCTCACGAAGTTAATACACCAACACAGTATCGTTGCTTAATATACAGAATGAGAAGAGAATTAGATACACTGAAAAACACATCCATGCTCAGGGGCAAGTGAGCTACAGCGAGTGGTTAATTTGACTGAAAACGTGTCCGTAAGTGCAGTTGGGTATCGCGCCGGAAGTGGGGGGGGGGGGGGGGGAACTGCGATATATGGGCTATATAGGTACGTCTCGCTGTAAATGATATTTTTTCATTAAGTTTCATCTTTAAGGTTTTTTTATAAATGAAAGATTTTGGTGTTAGAAAATGGTTACATTTTAC